CTGCACTTCAGGTAATTTCATGTTAATAGATCATCATTATTATGAGCTATTTTTATTTTTTTTTTGTATGCGGCTGGCGTAGAACAGTATGAAATCTTAAATTTATTCAAACGAGTCTCAAATAACAAAATTGAAGGACCTTGAACAAGTTATTAAAGCGAACGCGAGTTTTTAGTCTTTAAAAATTTCGGAGCTCAGTTGCTTAGCAATTACTGCGAAACCAGTTATAAATGTGTACAAATATTCAAACTGGAGTCAAGAAAAAAAAATATATATTGTATATACATATATGTCAACGCATATAAAATTGCGAATTGCATACCCAAGCTCCAATCAAATCAAGTACATTTCTGTTTAAAAAAAGCTGCACAACAGGAGTTCGCAGTGAATTATTATTGTAATTTATGGCATTTGTTTGTTCCTGATAAAAATGGCAAAATCTGTTCTAGTCAATTGGGTTTGGGCAGCAACACGTGCTTCGCTCAATGAGAGCTCGATTACTTGAAACTGCTTGACAACCATTGATGAGGTTTCAGCGTACGAATCAACAGGGTTCTGGCTTCTAATGTGTGCGTGTGTGTGTGTGTGTGTTTGTGTGTGTTAGTCAGAATTCGGCAGCAATTAGTCAGCAATAGTCAGTCGGCAGCTGGTGCCTTGCTGTGCAGTGCGAAGTTGTATCTGAGCGATATAAATACTATGCCACTGATAAGGGGCATATTTCTCATACCATAGTTCCGCAGCACGACAGAAACATCTGGCCTTAGTTTAGCTTGTTAGTCAGCCACTGCTCTTTATCTTGGATAAAAAAAAAAAATTACCACAAAAATATGGGCTAACCCTGTCAATTAAAGTGTATATTTATTTTATTTTATATAATTTTAATTGAGATACATTCAAGTCTAGATTACAGTTTCATGAAAACTGAATTATATGTAATTTAACAAAATACTGCCATGCAAATATTTCTCAGAAATACATCTGTTTATAATTTATAATTTACCATAAATGAATTAAATAAATAAATAACAGAAGGCTGCAATTACTGACTTGGGAAAGTCGTTCGACTTTGCCTCAGTTCACTTTCTCCTTCGCAAAATATTTGCATATTTAATTAGGCGGACGGTTTCAGATGACTTTAAATCTGATTAATTATGTTTTTGGCATATTCATTATTCAGGCTTTGTAAGAAAACATATTTGTATAAAATATTTGATCATTAAATGAGATTTTCGTTTACCTGTTTCATTCGCAGACAAAACAAATGTGAACCAAATGCGTAGACATTTGTTTTTTGGATAACAATACACGCCCTCACACACACACACGCACACACACAGAAACACACTCACAACAGACACAAATACACACAAACACGTACATGCACAGACGTAACCTACTGTGATACCCTATACTTGAGGGCCATCCGGCATATAGGAAAAGCACGCAGCTACATACCCCTCAGAGTACAAAACATCAAATACATCCAATTGGAGAGCAAATCAGCAGAGCTCAGAATGGACTTCGATCAAATTCTTGCCAAATGCGGCGACTTCAATCGCTATCAGTTTATGATACTCGCACTCTTTGGCTTTATCAATATCATCGTATCGATGGTACGTACGCTTTATAGCTTATATGTGTTCAGCCAGATTGCTTACTGAAATCCGAAAATGAATCATTGCAGCATTATTTCACACAAACTGTGATTAGTTTCGTGCCGGATCATTGGTGCTATCATGAGAAGCTCGTTAACATGACATATAAGGAGATCGCCGACATCTATGCCAAGTTCGAGAATCCCTCCTGCACACGCCTCGCCGACATCAATGGCAGCGTGGTCACAGTCAGCTCGGAGAAATGCGAAAAGTGGATATATAATTATGACTTTGGCTATAGAAGCATGAACACCGAGGTGAGTTGAACCAAAAAAAAAAAAAAAAAAAAAAAAAAAAAAAAAAAAATGATTATAATAATGGAATTGTCATGTAAAATAGCTACCTATCCTAGGAATACAAAAATGTAAGACTTATATAAAAAAAATTGTTGTAATAATTTAAATTTAATGAAGAATAGCTACAACTTAGGCTTAAGTACAGGATTTATCAAGGTGTTGTTTTGTTTATCTGCATTTTACATTTTTTATTAGAAATATATCCACAACTATCCAGAAATTTTTATGATAAATAATGTTTTTTACCAAATAATATTTGTAGTTATAAAGAATTTTAATCAAATGCTTTTAAGATTTGCCTCGATAAGAAATAATACCAAATAGAGCAGAACTACAAATAGGTCTTAGGCGAAATTCCCTTAACCAACATCAGCAGCTATGATAATTTGCTTAACATACTTCAATAAATGTATTTGTTTTTATCATTATAAATATTAAATTCAAATAAAAACATTTTTCGTAGACCCATCAGGTTTAAGGGTATTTAAAAATCAAGAATTCTTCGATTTCGTCTGTTTGTTGAAAGTCACATAAATTGAACTTGCTTTTATTTATTTAATTTATTTATTTTCCTTCCAATCCATCAACAGCTGAACTGGGTCTGTGACTCAGCGTATAAGGCGCGCATTGGCCAGTCGCTGTTCTTCATTGGGTCTGTTGTCGGTACGCTGTTCTATGGCCTGTTGTCTGATAAAATTGGACGAGTGCCAGCCCTGATATTGTCGAACTTCTGCGGCTTTGCTGGCGATTTCTCTACCATCTTTACCAAGAGCGTGGCCACATTTACCCTCTGCCGTTTCATATCGGGTCTGGCGGCCGATACCAACTTTTATCTCATGTATATTATAGGTAAGTGCATGCATAAGAATGCCCAAAATAAAGATTTGATTGCTAATCATCTTCAATTTCTTGTTTTGCAGTACTCGAATATATACGGCCCAGCATGCGCACATTGGGTCTGAATATGGCTGTGGGTCTGTTCTATTGCCTGGGCCTGGTGTTCACGCCCTGGCTGGCCGTGCTGGCCGGGCACTGGCAGATCTACCTGGCCTGCACATCGCTGCCCATACTGCTGGTGGTGCTGTACTATTTTGTGGTGCAGGAGAGCGCACAGTGGCTGGTGACGCGCAACGACATCGATGGGGCCATAATGCGGCTCAAGCGCGTCGCCCGATTCAATGGTCGCCATGTGTCGCAGGCGGAATTCGATGAGTTCAGGCGCCACTGCCAAATGACCCGTGAGATGCAGGGCGGCGATGATAAGAAGCATGCAACGCTGTTGGACATGTTTAAGACGCCACGCATGCGCAAGAACACGCTGATTCTGTTCTTCAAATCGTAAGTAATCCCATGGATAAAACATTGATGTGACACATTGCTCATACGCCGCGTATTGCAGAATGGTCATCACGTTGTGCTACGACGCCGTGTCGCGTAATGTGGAAGGCATGGGCATTTCGCCGTTCATCATGTTCTCGCTAAGCGCCCTGGCGGTGCTGCCCTCTAGTATTCTGCTGGTGCTGCTCCAGGATCGCATCGGACGCAAAGGCATGGCATCGGGCTCGCTGCTGGTTGGTGGCCTGTTCACGGCTGCCGCTGGCATTGCCATCGCCTATCAGCAGCACAATCACAATGCCATTTTGTTGGCCTGTCTGACGATCGCAGCGCGCTTCGGCGTGGCCATCTCGTACGAGTCGGGATCGCAGTATGCGACAGAACTGATACCCACATGTGTGCGCGGCCAGGGCGTGGCTGCGGTGCATGTGGCCGGCTTTGCGGCATCCTTCTTGGCGCCCTACATCCTATGGCTGGGCACGTTCTTCAAGGCCGCGCCTTCAATCATATTGGGTGTGCTCTTCTTTGCTGGCTCCTTTGTATGCCTGCTTCTGCCAGAGACCCTCAATCGGTAAGTGTGTGAATTCTAATTTTTCCCAGCAAATTGCTCAATTTTGGATTTTTTTCGATACGACAGGAGTCTTCCTACCACCATCGAGGAGGGTGAGGTGTTCGGCAAGGGCGAACGCATGCTCGACTTCCCCTGCCTGCACCGTAACGACGACGATGACTCCGACTCTGAGATGGAAAAGTACAAACGCAAGCATTCGCTCATCGATGCCAAGCAGCAGGTGGAGTCCGGACAATACGGCAAGCGCAAACAGTCGCTGATCGATGCCGATCGCGAGGAGCAGGCCCTCAAGGATGCAAAGCATTGAGCCAATCTCTAATGCCTTTGACTAGCTTGTAGTTTAGTTAAACAATTTTCTATGGCCCCTTATAAGCACTACCTAACACTTTCAATCAAGCAACTACAATAACAATAGCCCTAAGTAGGCAGCTGAACAATACTGAATATTTGACTTAATAATGCAGCAGTTATTATTTAAAACATAACTCTAAAGCAGTGCTAGCTGTGTGAATACCTCAAAATAACTATTCAAAGATTACTTAAAATTTACAAACTTTATGCTCACGTATCTGTAGAACATTTTCGATAAATATTTCTTGCTAAAGCACACACACACACACATTTATACACGAATACATATATCTATATACATAAATATATCTATCTATACAAATGTATGTATATTATTAATATAAAATATATATATATATATACACTCATATACGTCTTAAATTGTAGGCCTATATACTTATATAGACTGTAAGCAACAATATTCTTTAGTAACTCATAACTTAAATCAAAATTAAGCTATCGAGAATATTTTCCAAAAGTATGTAGGTTATCAAAGTCGAAATGGGAATCGAAATCGCAAAGTTAACATATAAGCGGCACAATTTCACTTAACTGAATGAATTGAATACTTATTATTATAAACGTTTACATCAATGTAATATGTATTAGCTAAGCATAAGTGTATTACTGTAATATTTAAGCAGAGTTTATTTTGATTCAATGCAAATATAATAATAACTACAATTTTAGAAACAATTTAAACAAATAAAAAAAAACGCGACATGTATACAAATCTAAACAAGATTATTTTTTATTCACTTCTAATATGAGAATCGAATTTAATGGGTTTCATTTGCTCAATTTCCATCGATATTTGTGGGACGTATCAATATTTCGACGGAATATATGGAATCTATGACACCGTCCCAGTAGACCATGTTGCTTCTGAGATAAAAGTTTAGATTTCTATTGGAGCACAAGACAATATCAATTAATAGTAATAGAAGTAAATTCGATTACCATTCACTTACGATTTGCCGCAGTTCGTTTGCCACCAACCGCCGCTGGCATCCTTGGAGCAGTTGACATCGTGCAATAGATCATTGTCGCGATCGAAGGTGCTGAACTTCTGATTTAGGCTCTCTCTCAATCCATCGCCAGCGTCTCCAGAGTATTCACCCAGTGATTGTATGGCATAGCCCTCAGTCTCGTTTCCAATTCGAAAGTTGCTGTAGGACGCGGTTTTGACGCTCTGGCCATTGTTTAATCGTATCAAGAGCTTGTGAGGCTTCGATGACGTCATCTGGTGCAATTTTTCCAGCCCAATGAAGAATTCACTGCTGAAATCGCCAAAACCTTGGGCATATTCCGCCCACCCACGGTTAAAGTTGATTTTCTGATTCAATCGACGCTCCACAATGGACCAGACCTGTTTGTCAGACCCGACCACGGCGCATGGCACCTTGAAAGCCTCCCGGTTCGGAAGTGAAATTAGATGGGCACCGCCAAAGGATGGACACTTGCTCTCATCTTTCTCTTCTTTTTGTTCAGGTTTCTTAACTGCTTCGCTAACATTTTGTTTGCAAATTTTCAGATTTTCTTCTTGCTCAGCGAATTTTTCTTGTAATTTTTTTAAATTCGTTTCGACGGTTTTCAATTTGGTTTCATTATGTTTACATATTTTCAGATCTTCTTCTTGCTTAGGTTTATTAACTGCTTCGCTAACATTTTGTTTGCAAATTTTCAGATTTTCTTCTTGTTCAGCGAATTTTTCTTGTAATTTTTTCAAATTTTTTTCGACGGTTTTCAATTTGGTTTCATTATTTTTGCAAATTTTCAGATTTTCTTCTTGTTCCGTGAAGTTTTCTTGTAATTTTTTTAAATTCGTTTCGACGGTTTTCAATTTGGTTTCATTAT